CATTGTCACATGATCGTATATATCTGACTTCAATCTCCTTATTCCTTTCAAGCTCTTGGGTGTATGCGAAGAACTTCGGAGGATATGTTTTGTTCTATCACTTTTGATGAATCCTTCCTTAGCCTGTGCAACGCACGCAATATTATCTTCAAACAATATTGTTGGCGTCGTGTCGATAGGTATTCCACTAGCCTTTTGAATATGTTGAGATAATAATCTCAACCATACTGATTCTCACCTTGCCTCATGTAATGCGATGACCTCGGCATGATTAGCTGATGTAGCATCTAGAGTCTGCTTTTGAGAACGCCAGACTAACACAGTTCCATTGACATAGCCTGTTTGTGACCTATCTTTATGTGAGTCTGATAAATAACATGCATCTGCAAAACCAACAATTTCTTGTTTTGTGTTTTTAGAGTAAAACAACCCAAGATCATCAATAGTTCCTTGAAGATAATGAAATATATGTTTAACCCCATTCCAATGTCTTCATGTTAGGGCATAACTGTATCTTGTTAATAGGTTGGTAGCGAATGATATATCCAGTCTAGTACAATTTGCAAGATACATAAGAGCTCATATTGCACTTAGATATGATACTTGAGGACCAAGTATCTCTTCATTATTTTCGCGCAGACAAAATAGATCTTTTTCAATATCCAATGTTCTATTTACCATCGGGGTACTTAGTAGATTTGCCTTATCCATATTGAATCGTTTTAGTACCTGTTTTGTATCATTTGATTGATGTAGAAAGATTCCATCTTTCAAATGTTCTATTTGTAACCCAAGACAATATTTGGCTTGTCCAAGATCTTTCATTTCAAATTCCTCTTTTAAATAATTGGATGCATCCTGATCTCACGGGGAGTACCAATGATATTTAAATCATCGACATATACAGCAATAATCACAAACCCAGTCATCGTTCTTTTGATAAAATACACATGGTAATATATGATCATTTGCATATCTATTTTTCAATAAATGCTCACTCAAACGTTTATACCATATACGTCATGATTATTTTAGTCCATACAATGACCGTTGTAACTTGACATCACATAACTCTCGTGGTTTTGTTTTCAATGTTTCGGGCATTTTAAATCCTTCAGGGACTTTCATATATATACTCGTGTCAAGTGACCCATATAAATAAGCAGTGATAACGTCCATGAGACGCATTTCTAAATTCTTTGAAACTGCAAGACTAATTAGGTATCAAAATGTAATAGCATCCATAACAGGAGAATAAGTTTTCTCGTAATCTACTCCTGTTCATTGGGGAAAACCTTGTGCTACAAGACGAGCTTTATATCTTACAATTTCGTTGTACTCATTTTTTTTCCGCACAAATACCCATTTACATCCAACATAAGAAACTTCTTTTGATTTAATAACAATATGTCCGAATACTTTTTGCTTATTAAGCGAATCTAACTCAGCTTGTATTGCGTCTCTCCATTTATTCCAATCTGGACTCCTTTGACACTCCGAAATAGATCTGGGTTTTGGATCCTCATTTTCATCAATTTTCTTTGATACATTATAAGGGAATATAGCATCAATCTCTTTGATTTCTTTTTGATTCCATAATATACCATTACTGATATAATTAATTGAGAGCTCATGATTTCCATTATCTGGATTTATACCATCATCACAAGGTACTTCATTTCTTTGATTTGGAACGCGTTCCTCCGAATTGAACATTTCATTTTTCTTGGGCCTTTTGCTCTTTCGGGAGTTTTTATCCTTAGATATTGGTCGTCCACGCTTCATGCGTGTTTTGGAATCGTTTGTCAAATTTTCTTTCGTTTGTTCTTTCGGAATTTCAATCCGAACATGAACATTTGCAGCATCTATATATGATCTTGTTACTCTAGTTGTATCTGCAAATACATCAGGTAACTGATTTGCAACATTCTGCAAATGTATAATCCTTTGAACTTCTAGTTCTCGTTATTTTGTTGGGGGATCAAAGTGGGATAATGATGGTGTACACCAATTAAGATCATTTTTATTTTCCACCATTCTATGATTTTTCCCCCTAATTGTGGAAATTCATTTTCATTAAAATGACAATCAGTAAAACGAGCCGTAAAAACATCTCCAGATTGTGGCTCAAGATATCATATAATGAATGGCGAATCATACCCAATATATATTCCAAGTCTTCTTTGTGGTCGCATTTTTGTAAGTTGTGGTGGAGAAATCGGGACATATACTGCGCATCTGAATATTCTGAGATGCGATATATTAGGTTCTTGACCAAATACTAATTGTGATGGAGAATACTTATGATATGCACTTGGTCTGATACGAATCAGTGACGCAACATGCAAAATAGCATGACCCCAGATAGAAATGGGTAATTTTGTTTTCATTATCAATGGTATGGCAATAAGTTAGAGTCGTTTGATTAATGACTCTGTCAATCCATTCTGTGTATGAACGTGTGCTACTGGGTGTTCAACATCAATACCCATTGTTACACAGTAATCATCAAAAGCTTGTGATGTAAATTCTCCAGCATTATCAAGCCTTACTTTCTTGATCGGGTACTCTAGGAACGGTGCCTTTAGTTTAATTATTTGGGCTAAGAATCGAGCAAATGCTAGATTACGCGATGATAAAAAGGCATACATGCGACCATCTGCTTGAAGTATCAATTAATACCATAAAATATCGAAATGGTCCGCATGGTGGAAGGATAGGTCCACAGATATCACCATGAATTCTTTCTAAAAATGATGGTAATTCATACCCGATTTTAACTTGTGATGGTCTAATTATTAATTTTACTTTAGAATATGCATCACAAGAAAGCTTATCCGATTGAAAAATCTTCTGGTTTTTCAATGGATGACCATGAGAGTTTTCGATAATTTTTCTCATCATAATGGCATCAGGGTGATCCAATCGATCATGTCAAACTTTGAACGTATCAGTAAACTTATGGTTTACTATGACATGTGATTCAATCACATCGATATTAGTATAATATAATCCCGAGGATAGAGTGTGTAATTTTTCCAACATATACTTTTGTCCCGAATTGATTGAGGTGATATATAAATACTCAGTGTCATCCTCATTCATAGTTTTAATATGATACCCATTTTGTCGGATATATTTAAAACTCAATAAATTTCTTTGGGACTTGGAGAAAAATAATGCATCTTTTACTGTAAATTTTGTTCCTCCTGGCATAATGAAATCGGCTCTTCCGGAGCCTTCGATTATTTTTGCATTTCCAGATATAGTAGTAACATTTCCTTTGTTTATTCTTAGATTTGAGAAATAATTATTGTCTTTCAGAATTGTATGGGATGTAGCACTATCTGCCAAACATATATCTCCTCCTCGGTCCGCAATTTTGACCATATTCGTTTTCTATTCAAGAACAAAACAACATTACAAAAAATATATATTAATAATGCATAATATCATTACTAACTTATGAAGCAGAAATAGTTATACAAGACACAATAACATATAATGAAATTATTTATACATGAGAATGCATACGCATATAGTATTGATTATATGAAGTATGCAAATATTTATATAGTTTATCCATAACCAACTCCATCTTCAGGATGGACAAAAACATCAGCGAGGTCCATGTGTGCAAAGTTCTTAGCACCACTAGCATCATCATCATAGTCGTTCATGACATGAATGGTCTCGATGTCTTTTCCTTTTGTTTCTTTAATCGACTTCTGGTAAAGGTCCACCAGGTGTTTAGTGGTGCGACAAGTACGCGACCAATGTCCCATCATTCCATACCGATGGCATGTACTTTCTTTTATCCTTTTGTTCGGATGACCATGTGCTCCCCCTTTATTACTGTTAAAATTGTGATTTTGGGATGAATCTTCTTGATCACCTCCTCTGATCCATCTTCGGCTGGCACCACGACCGCGTCCTTGACCCTAGCCTCGACCTCTACCTCGAAAATAACCACGTCCTCGACTATTATAAGACATAGATTCACTCCAGGGAATGATGTTTTTTCTGTAGCATTTGTTTCAGGAAATGACTTGTTTTCTGTAGCATTCGCTTCTTGGAATGGTACAGATCCAGTTGGTCATGACGCGTGATTTTTCATTAACAGCTCATTATTTTGTTCAACCAATAGGAGACATGATAAAAGCTCCGAATATTTCGTATACCATTTTTCTCGATATTGTTGTTGGAGTATAATATTCGAGGCATGCATAGTTGAGAATGTTTTCTCCAACATCTCATTTTCGGTGACTGTTTCTCCACATAATTTTAGAATCGAGGTGATTCGATACATTGTTGAGTTATATTCACTGACATTCTTGAAATCTTGAAATCGGAGATACACCCATTCATATTTTGCCTTGGGGAGGATCACCGTTTTTTTAATGATCAAAACGGTCTTTTAATTTTAACCAAAGATCTGCAGGATCTTTGATTGTCAAATATTCTTTTTTCAAATCATCATGAAGATGATGTCGCAACAATATCAGTGCATTTACCTTATTCTCGTTTGATGCACATTTTTCTTTAATAGTGGTATCAAGACCTTTTGATTCGATATGTAACTCAGCATTCAACTACCATAATAAATAATTGTTTTCCGATATGTCGAGGACCTCGAACTCGATATTTGTCATTCTTACCATTATGACTAAACAAAAAAATAAACCATATATTAGCTTTATTCATTATAATAGATAAGACAACATAGCGAAATACATGGTTACATATAAATTGCTATAATTAGTAACACGTAAACAAGATGTAAAACCGCAATGTAAACTGAAAACAGAAATGGATCAGGATTTTTGTCGAAGAAAATACTAAACGTTGCTACTAAAACTTCTAGAACAAAGAGAATTTTTAATAAAATTCATCTTCAGAGTTTTTTTTTGTTGGGAGAGGAGAAGAGAATGAGATGATTTTGTATGACTTGTTTGAGTGAATGAATGAGTGTATTTATAGGGTAAAATTTACTATTCCTAGCCGTTGGGGAGGAGCAAAAATTTGATTTTTTTAAATTTTTTTTAAATATAGCCGTTGGAGAAAAATAAATTTTGAAAAAATTTACAAATGATTTTATCAAATTAGATTATAAAACTATACATAGAAAGATAATTTATAAAACGAATTGTTAAATTATTTTGTAAAATTAATTGATAATATTATGTATATAATTAATTAATTATTGAGAAATCAAATAATTTAAAATTTATTTATCGTTATATGAAAGAATTTATAAAACTTTACTTGTAAATTTTATTACTAATATATATATTTTTAGATTAAGTTTAATTTTTTTCATATAAATAACCATTAAAAATAAATTTATATTATATATGATAATATTTTGCATGATGAATATTTATTAGTTTATATAGATTAGATAATATAACTGTTGGCGGTATTACTGTCTGCAGAAGTAAAATAGCTCAGGCGGCATTGTCGTCCATAAAGAATAAACATAATAGTTTATTAATAAATAAAGGGACATAGCCGTCCAATAACAAATAATTAAGACGGCATAGCTGTCCAAATTAATAATTAAGGCGGCACATCCGTCCAATAACGAATAAATATTTAAGGCGGCATAGCCATCCAGATTAATAATTAAGGCGGCATAGCCGTCCATGAATAATAATCGAGATGACATAACCGTCCATAAATTAATTATAAAGAATATCGGTATTCATATATAACTTGGGGTTAATTCCACTCAAAGATTAATAAATACATATATATATCATAAGAATGAAAATATAAGTATTAAAGATAAGTTATCTTACTTTTAGTTGTGGAAGAGCGGTCGACAGTTACTTGAGGACCAAGTATCTCTTCATTATTTTCGCGCAGACAAAATAGATCTTTTTCAATATCCAATGTTCTATTTACCATCGGGGTACTTAGTAGATTTGCCTTATCCATATTGAATCGTTTTAGTACCTGTTTTGTATCATTTGATTGATGTAGAAAGATTCCATTCGTTAACTATAACCGAAAACCGTATTTTGGAGAATAGAGAAGAATATATTTTTTTATTAATCTCTCTTGAAAGTGTATAAATGGATAAATCCAAATGGGTTATTTATAGAAATTCCGAAGTTACTGTTCACGTATACGGTCGGTGAGAATAGTACCGTATATATGAACAGTAAATCGGTATGTTCACCGTAAATTTATTTTATTTATAACAGTACGCTTTTTATTGCAAAGTCTTTTTCATTCGTTATGTTTTCTTTTGCCGGACATGTTGAAGACGGAGAGTATAGAGAATATTAATATTTGATCATTTTTAAGGACTTTTTTCTTCCTACTCCGGCACACAGAATTTCGTTCACGAGAGTCAGGGCGAGTAGAGCAACTCAAATACTCGCAGCGCGTGGAACTAGTTCCTGGATGCCATCATATTTCTCCACTGGGATCTCTCTGTTTCTTCTCCTTTCATTTTTTTTCACCTCCCACGGCCATTAAAGAAAAAGGAGAAATTTCTCAAAATGATAATAAAAAAGTAAAAAGTTCCTTCTCCTTCGTCGTGTTCTCCCCTAGCCCCCCTTGTCTATCCTAACATCTAGTCTCCCCCGTCCTTAGTTCTCCAGCAACCGGATTCTGGGTTCTGCTCTCCGGCGGAGAACGATGCTGTTTGGGATGTGAGGGAGTTGCTCGAAGTGGTATATACATGTATCGAGAGAGGGAGAGAGGCGTAAGGTTGAAGAACAAGGAGTAAAATAGGAATAAAAGATGCGAATTCTGTGTGATGCGTGCGAGAGCACCGCCGCCATACTCTTCTGCGCCGCCGACGAGGCCGCCCTCTGCCACTCCTGCGACGAAAAGGTATAAGCTTCAGTAATATCTTTCTCTGAATTTTCCTTTCACAGTTTTGTGAATATCATTGTGCCAATATACGTGCAAAGTTGGTGTCTTTCTAGTCAGAGATCGAAGCTGCGTGAATGGTTGGCAAAAAGATCTGATTTTGCCGTCTGGGTTCACTCTTGTGCCAATTGGATTGAGCTCTACGAGATCTTACGTCTCCCGTGTTTCATATTATGCTTCTCGTGGATTATAGTTCCTTCAATCACTGAAAAAAGTCGAGAATTTAGAACTAAAACTAGTAGAATTGGGGCGAAGGCTCTTTCTGTTGGAATGGCTATGCGATTCGGATCTATATGAGTCGAAAATAGATTTTTTTTTTAAAAGTTTTTCCTCGTTGCTTGACCTTATTGTCGATAGAGCAAGATGAAGCAGACTGATCCTAGTTGCATTTTTAAATTTGAGATATTGAATTCTTGTATAGTTTCTCATTCGCTGGTCTAGTCTTGTAGTCTTTCTGATGCAACGTACAAATCAGGCAAATATGAAATTCGAGTGCTACGTCCGATGCGGTGATTTCTTTGTGTTCTTAAGAGTTTGCATATAATCTACTTGTGGATAACATTTATATAGGCATACTCTGTTTTCGCTTTGTGGGCATTAGGTAAAAACAAAAACTGTCTTTTGAAACATCTCCTGTGCCACAGTAATGGATCAGTTCCACCATTTTGAGGCATCTTCTGTGCCTCAGTAATGGATCACTGCTTGTTTCTTGACCTCAGTGCTTCTTTGATAGATCCTGAGCATCGTTTCAGGTTTCATGAGTTGTGCATGATCCTTTTTGTGATGATAAGGACCGTATACCTCTCTTCTCATGAGTTTCTGCGTTTGTTTGTTGGATAAGGTTACAGAAAACAATGGTTGTTTTGTTTTCAGGTTCATATGTGCAACAAATTGGCTAGCCGACATGTACGAGTTGGTTTGGCTGACCCCAGTGACGCTCCACGCTGTGACATATGTGAAAATGCACCTGGTACCACCAAGTTCACTACCCCTTTCATTAGTTTCTTCCATACCGTGAAAGTTTTGTTTTGAAACCCGGATTTTGTTTTCTTTTTCCGGGACTTAAAAAAAACATGAGCAGCGTTCTTTTACTGTGAGATAGACGGTAGTTCCCTTTGCCTCCAATGCGACATGGTTGTACATGTCGGTGGCAAGAGAACGCATGGGCGTTTTCTATTGCTGAGGCAGAGAATCGAGGTTTTGAATCTAAAGCAATCTTTGTATCTATATTGAATCTCGTTCTGTCGGGTTTAAGTTTCTTTTTCTCCTTGCATCGGTGGTACTGTTATCGTAGTTTCCAGGTGACAAGTGTGGCAGTGTTGGATTACAAGGCAAGGAGCAGAACCGTGCAAGGGAGAACCCACAAGAGCCAAAATCAAATGCTGAGCCCGATGGCAAGGTGGAGAGCAAACTGTTCGATCCGAATGCAAATCCTCAGAGAATACACGACCCAGCTTCGAATAACCAGGTGCCTTTAAGCTTTTCTTTTTCCTGAGTTTGGGTTTAATGGTAAGTAACCTCCATATGTGCTTTGGCTGATCCTATTCGTGTTTCTGAAGGAGAGGGGCATTGATGTAAATAACATGAATAATCACGAGCCCGGAAGCCTTGTTCCTGTAGGACCCTTTCAAAGAGAGCCTGAAAAATAAGCAGCTCCGCCTTGTCTTTCACAGTGCCTTAATGGATCGACTCAGTCATTTAAAGTTGTCGGTTTTCGGCTATAGGTTCATTGCACTGCAGGTGTTCTTGAGAGGCCTTTCAAGCATGCTTGCATCACAGACTTGTTTTTTTCTTCTTCAGGAGGGAAGCCTCCATGGTCGTGCATATTCTTGGTTAAGTTAAGCTGATGGTAGCTTTAAGGTTTTTCAGAATGTAATTTCCGAACAGTTCAATGAATTGAAGTTTCCAGATGGCTCCCCCGAGTCGTGAGCCTTTTTCTATGAATTCGATATCCAACTCCGAAAGGACTGTATCACAGTGGCCCCAGAATCCTGGATCAACCGGATATGTAAATCCGGGCCTTGTCCACTTCAAACGAGGTTTAGCTGTCTGAAGAGCCTAAGACGAGACAATCTCGTCACCGGAAGAACATAGACAAGCTCATCGTAAGTCCAAATCCAGGTAAAACTTATTTTAAGTAGCCATCAAAGTAGCAAAAACTAGTCACATAACCAAACTCAAAAAGAAATTCAAAGCCTTTTAGCCATCCATTATGCATCATTTTCAGCATCTTCTCAGTAAGTGTAGCCCTTAACGAACATGCCCTTCTTGGCTTCCTCAGACTCGCCCTCACCAGTGTACTTGCCGAGCTGGGCGAGGGAGTTGGCCTGAGCACGGATCAGAAGGGCATCCTGGGCAGCCTTCACGTTCTCGGGTCTGCCACCCCATGTCTTGAGGCAGGTGTTCTGAAGGGCGCGTGCATACGAGAATGATACGTGCCATGGGTTTGATGCCTGGTTCATTGCGTTCAGGTTCAGTGTGGCCTCCACCTCCGACTGTCCACCAGACAAGAACTGCAAATAATCCAGTCCAAGACAACACACTGATCATTACACATTCTGAGAGATACATGTATCATCATTCATTCATTCCAAAAGAGAAGAAGAACTTGCCATGATTCCGGGAACGGCGGGAGGAATTCTGTTGTGAAGGAGCTTGAGGGTGTAGGAAGCGACCTGCTCAGGAGTGGCTCTGTCCTTAGACTCGGCGCCAGGCGTCACCATGCTTGGCTTCAACAGGATTCCTGTTGCCAATTTATACAAGAACTTGTGAATTTTCGTTACTTGGTTGTTGTTTTCTTGGTAAGGAATACTTGGAACATGAAACAATACCTTCGAACATGACGTTGTTCTGGGCGAGGTAGAAGAAAACCTCAGCCCAAACCTTCTCAGCGACCTCGTAAGTACGGTCAATGCTGTGCTCTCCATCGAGGAGGATCTCTGGCTCCACAATTGGCACCAACCCATTGTCCTGAAATCACACAAAGCTTTAGTTTATTGAGAGAATTCAGTGCAATCCCATTATTTCTTGCGGGAAAAGCGAGGTGGTTTACCTGAGAGATGGCAGCGTAACGGGCGAGACCCCAAGCGGCTTCTTTGACAGCAAGAGCAGAGGGACCGTTGGGAATGCTCACGACCGTACGCCTAATTCAATCAGAGATAGAATCTTTGAAGCGAACTGAGTGGCAGTCAACATAGGAAGGGTCTAGGATTGAGAGAACTTACCATTTGGCGAAACGAGCACCCTGCTGGTAGTAGGCGGCAGAGCGAGAGGCGAGACCATCGAGTCCTTGGCACCACGACTCGTTGTTAGATCCAGCAAGCGGCACCAGACCCTACAATCGAATATAAACCACACCATATACATGTATAACAAGAAATAAAAATATCAGTGTTAGGACAGGAACACACAAATGGTTTCCATTTTAACCTTTCTTGGGAAACGCGCGCCATGAGTTAAGTTCGTTTTCCGTTTCATCTCTTTTCACAAATCAGCAATTTTGCAAAAGAAGTGAAAGGGTTCAACGGCGGTATCACGAACCTTGTCGACCTTGATACCGGGGACGATGTTCTGCTCAGAGAGGACGTCGACCATTTTGCGGCCGTCAGTGGTGGATTGGTAGAGAGTCTCCTCGAAGAGGATGGCTCCGGAGATGTACTGACCCAGTGCCGGTGCTGTTATCAGCAGAGTCCTGTATGCCTGCCTGTTTGCCTCTGTGTTCTCCAGCCCTATCGACGCCAATCTCTTTCCGCACGTCGCGTTCGACTCGTCCATCGCCAAGATTCCTCGTCCCGGAGACGCTATTGTTTTCTAAGACGCCCAAAGCAACAAGATGTTTTTGAATTTTTCAGTCAAGAGAGTTCATAACGGTCGAGTACGGATGAAACGTGTCGGCGGGACTTGTGAATGTAACTTACAGCGGTCTTGACGAGCTCGTCGGCGTAGGAGGAGGAGGCGCGGACGGTGAGGGCCGAGGAGGAAGCGCGGCTTCGGACAGCGGCGGAGGATGGCTGTCGGAAGAGGAGGTTCTGTCCCTTCACCCAGTCCGACCTGTCCAAAACCGGCGAGGCCTTTAGCAGAGTCGCTGAGGTCGATGCCATCCTTCTCTCCCTGCGAGTAAAAGTTTCTTCCTCTTTCTCGAGAGACTCACAAGAAGCTTATGGCACGATCTTATCTCTGAGCTCACTCCCTGCTTTGGATTTATATTTGCCTTCAGATTGGTTATTTGAGGTTCTTGTCTCCCCGCCAATGCCCATCCGCCACGTGGAAATCATCTTTCTCTAGTCCCGGAATATATTCCCCCTTTGATTCCCGTCGTTAGATTTGTGATTTTCTTTTTCTAGCCCGGAAAAAATAATAATTATTTTTTTATGACGTATTTATGTGCAGAGGGAAATTTACAATAGGTCGTTTGGTCCACATCGAAGGCGCAAGATTTCTCCTCAAGACAAATTCAGAATGGAACCAAATGCATGCGTCCGACATTTACAATCACAAAGACTTCGTGAGGTTGCGATGAGATCTCTACTTCCTACGTTTCGATGGCTGAGGTTAAGTCTGGAGATTTTATGAGATTGTGATGGATACATCAACGGTACACCGTTTGCCGTGTCAGCCCCTTGGTGTCATCTCAAGACACGTGGCATTCTTATAGCCATCTTGGATCCCGGGGTAATTAGTGAACCCTCTCAACGAATGAGAGGGTCTAAGGCCGACGAAGCCACGAGTTAAAAAAAAGCACCAACTTCCGAGAGGGGTCAACATAAGATGAGATGTGAACAATCTAAGTGAAATTTAAAAAAAACTTAAATTATTTAAAACAAGCTTTTATGAAGGTCCAAATAGGTTTGGTACAGAATAAATGTTATTGATCCCATTTAATATATTTATTTAATTATTAGATTGGTATATATTCCACTAAACCAACCAGAAAGCATGAATAATAAACATAAATAATTATAAGTACCACGAATGAATTTAATATTCTCTACTGAGCGTTATCGAAAAAAATAAGATTTTTTTTTTATTAGCTGCAGGGTAATTGAATGCCGTAAGTCTCACAAAAATCGACTCAATGGAAGTTGGGGTTAGCGGCAAAGTAGGCCAAGACTCCGACGAAGGGTGCATTGGTGTACGTTGCAGGCTCAGTCTGCGTGGCATTGTTTCTGCCGCCGACGAACTTGTCATCGCCGTCGGGCCCACCGACCACGGCACCGGTCAAGACGTTGGGGTTGGGGCCTAGTTTCTTGAAAAGATCCCACCCGGCCTTGCAACCGAATGGTTTCGGATGAGCCTTGATGCTGGGTATGGACGAGCCACGGTGATGTATCTGTTCCGGGTACCGATTACCGTATCCCACCATGTACGACATGTTCATCGGATTATCTCCCAAAATGTAGTCCACCTAAACAAGTAAATCAACATTCACCATTATAAACCGGACCTGCACTTTGGAATTACTAATTGGAAAGATCAAACAGACCTGTCTCTTGGCAACGCGGCGGAGTTCATCAGGTGAGACGACAAGGCTGCCGCAGTGTAAGGATTGGGAGGCTTTGGAGAGGTAATCCGCATAGGCAAGGAGGAGCAAGGAGCGGGAGATGGGACATTGGAGCTGAGCCATGCCTCCGTCGTATATCAAACCGCCCGGTGTATATGTCACGTGTTGTCCGCTTGCATTCGGTATGAACGAACACATGAAGCTATCTGCCTCGTTCTTGAATGCCTCTAATCTCGTCATTTTGGCTTCCAACACTTCCTGTTCATACATGGCAGATGGTTTGATTAGTGAAATAGGTAAGCATGTTCAGATTGGATAGAGATTAATGGTAGCAAACCTTGGCGACAAGAACGTTAATGCCGCCCAGTTTGTTGTCCCAACCAAACTGGAGAATGGCGGAGCCATCTCCAAAGGCCTCACGGTTGCTCTCTAAGTAACTCAGGTAAGATTCTTCTCCCGTGGCTCTTCTCAGCCATGCAGCTCCCCATAACAATTCATCCTATATCCATCAAAACAAGCCAACATTTTCATTATAATTCAGATTCTTCAATGTTTTCAAATGTACATCGATCACATGTGTTCTAATCTATGCGAGAATCTAGTTATTAAAAAAGATCATCAGTAGACGATGCATGATGGGGTTCTCACCTTGTACCCACTCATACTGCAGTAAAAAGGGCAAACGGCATCCTTTGCGCTAGGATTATCGCTATAAGAACCACGGTGGGAATCGGCGTACTGAAAAGCCTTGACAGCGTTCTGAAGCAACACACGAGAGTAGGAGGGATCCGATGGCTGGAAAGCAATGGAAGCAGCGGCTAAGGCGGCGGCAATTTCTCCGGCGAGATCAGAGGCTGCGTTTGGTGCGTCGATGGCGTAGGAAGTGCGCGGTGTGTCCATATCCTCCGGCCTCTCCCAGCAATTGTGGTCTGCGACTGGTTCTCCTACCTGCGTTCACGTGAGTGCATATCTCTCTTCTTTGAACACTTTGGCCAATATTAGGGTTTCGTGAAATATTCGAAACATGTCAAAAAGTCATTTAGCTTGCTCTTTTACCATATCCTCTCGTTCCAACCTCTTTTTTCCCCCCTGAATATGCAATGGGGTCCGAAAGGATATATATATATATATATATTAGATAGGGCCACTTTAGGTCTCTTTAAACAACATCTCAATACACACACTATATATTAACATTTAAAATCTTCGCACAATTATATTCTACGCAGTAACTACAAAGACAACAATTTCTTTGTTAACCCATAAATCTCCCCATTTTAGCCGTTTTCATTTACTTATTGCATGAAACATTCACATAAATTTCATTTGCAACGCAATAACGTACCTGGACAAAGATACGGTTAGGGAGCTGAGAAACGGTCTTGAGGAGATAGTCGGAGCTCCATTTGACGGCCTCGAGAGCGTTCTGACGCTCGGAAGGAGGCATGTATCCTCCGAAGTCGACCACGCTCCACGCAAGCATCGTCGTCGTGAATGCCATCGGAAAATGGAACTTTATGTTGTCTCCGGCGTCGTAATATCCGCCGGTGAGGTCCGTTTTGTGGGTCCATCCGTCTCTCAGCCCGGAGGTACCGCGCCACGTCATCCTTTGGCTCTTCGGAAGAAATCCCGACCGTTGGCCTTCGAAGAAGATGATGGATTTGGAGAGAGCATCGTTATAGTCATGTGAAATCACCGACTTCGGCAACTGACCAAGACCGAGAATAAGAATAAGAAGAGGAGGAAGAAGTCGCCGGCAGATGGGTGATTTCATATTTCCGTTGCCGGGAAAGTGTATATATATCGTTAAGAGTTGAATTAATGATAATGTAGAGGAGGTGTGGTATAGGGATTATATATCTATATATATATAGGCTTTTATGAATGTTCAACGTTCCATTGGAATCGAATATTCATCTGTCAATTTAATACTTAATTCGTCTGAAACTAAAACATAGATTCAAATCCAAATATTATTGGAAGTATAAAACGTAAATGGAACTAAATCAAAATATTCCATAGAATATCATGTACTGTAGTATTTTTGGAATCATCTCCATAATAAACTTAACAAATAAGGAGAAATAACCGCGGTGAATTTAATATTTATGGTATATGAAATGAGCATATATATATATATATGAATCGGATCAGACCCAGAAAAGAATATGTAATCCGATTTGTAAAGAATATTTAATATTATATATATATATATATACACACACAAATAAATGTAAGAAAAAAAATCTAATTAAATATTACGTTATGTAGTAGATTATTTAACCGTACGTGTCTCTACGGCACCGAAGGTGAGGTTGGCCTATACGCATACCCTCTTTCCAGCGGGGATTAATATTGTGCATTATATATATCAAACAGATTGGAATTATTTTTATTAGATTAGCGGCGGTGCTTCAATTCAATTACAATTTGAAACATAAACCGATTCAATGGAAGTTGGGGTTAGCGGCAAAGTAAGACAAGACTCCGACGAAGGGCGCGTTGGTGTACGTTGTAGGCTCACTCTGTGTAGCATTGTTTCTCCCGCCGACGAACTTGTCATCGCCGTCTGGCCCACCGACCACCGCACCGGTCAGAACGTTGGGGTTGGGGCCTGGTTTCTTGAAAAGCTCCCACCCGGCCTTGCACCCGAATGGTTTCGGATGAGCCTTGACGCAGGGTATGGACGAGCCACGGTGGTGTATCTGTTCCGGGAACCGACCACCGTATCCCATCATGTACGATATCTTCATCGGATTATCTCCCAAAATGTAGTCCACCTAAACAAGTAAATCGACACATTCACTGTTATAAAACCGGACAGGTTACTAGAATTATTCGTTGGAGAAGAGCAAAGGGAGGGACCTGTTTCTTGGCAATGCGGCGGAGATCATCGGGGGAGATGACAAGGCTATCGCAGTGTAACGATTCAGATGCTTTGGAGAGGTAATCGGCGTAGGCGAGGAGGAGGAAGGAGAGGGAGGTGGGGCGTTGGAGCGGAACCATGCCTCCGCCGTGTAGCAAACCGGCCGGCGTGTACGTCATGTGTTGTCCGCTTGAATTCGGTATGAATGAACACATGAAGCTATCTGCCGTGGTCTTGTATGCTTGTAATCTCACCATTTTGTCTTCCAACACTTCCTGTTCATATCATACGACAAAGACACTTGTATGATTTTTTGCTGTCTATATTATAATTAAGGCCGTGTAATTTCTGAAATTGGTAGCAAACCTTGGCGACAAGAACGTTAATACCGCCAAGTTTGTTGTCCCAACCAAACTCGAGAACGTTGTAGCCAGCTCCAAAGGCTTCACGGTTGCTCTCTATATACTTCAGGTAAGATTCATCTCCCGTGGCCCTTCTCAGCCATGCAGCTCCCCATAACAATTCATCCTGTATCCATAAGAAAAACAAGGTAATGTTTCACCGATTATGTTATCAAGGCGATGAAACTGCTGATATATAGATCATTTATGATTCGGTAGACTATACTATACACGTACGTAATAATACACTAACCTAGCTATATGTAACAAAAAAGATACAATCGAGATTCACCTTGTATCCACTCGAACTGCAGTAAAAAGGGCAAACGACCTCTCTTGCGCCAGGGTTATCACTGTAAGAACCATGATGAGAATCGGCGTACTGAAAAGCCGTGACAGCGTTCTGAAGCAATTTGTTAGAGTAGGAGGGATCCGATGGCTTGAAAGCAATGGAAGCAGCGGCTAAGGCAGCGGCTATTTCTCCGGCGAGATCAGAGGCTGCGTTTGGTGCGTCGATGGCGTAGGAAGTGCGCGGTGTGTCCATGTCCTCCGGCCTCTCCCAGCAATTGTGGTCTGCGACTGGTTCTCCTACCTGCGTTCACGTGAGTGCATATCTCTCTTCTTTGAACACTTTGGCCAATATTAGGGTTTCGTTAAACATTCGAAACATGTCACAATGTTGTGTCGTTCGAACTTCTTTTTTCTTTATTTGTAGGGGTGGATCCAAAAAGTGTAAAACATAAACTAACAAGGTCTTTACAAACAGTTCTGCTATATGAATATCATTTGCAACGCAATAACGTACCTGGACAAAGATACGGTTAGGGAGCTGAGAAACGGTCTTGAGGAGATAGTCGGAGCTCCATTTGACGGCCTCGAGAGCGTTCTGACGCTCGGAAGGAGGCATGTATCCACCGAAGTCGACCACGCTCCACGCAAGCATCGTCGTCGTGAATGACATCGGAAAATGGAACTTTACGTTGTCTCCGGCGTCGTAATATCCGCCGGTGAGGTCCATTTTGTGGGTCCACCCGTCACTCAGACCAGAATTGCCTCTCCACGCCATCCTCTGGCCCTCCGGAAGAAATCCCGACCGCTGGCCTTCAAAGAAGAGGATGGATTTGGAGAGAGCGTCGCTATAGTCATGTGAAATGACTGCCCTTGGCAACTGAACAAGACCGAGAACAAGAGTAAGAAGAGGAAGAAGTCGTGGGCAGATGGGTGGTTTCATTTCGAGACGTGTAGCAGTGGAGGTGTGTATAATGATGCATGGGAGTGTTTATAATGGCGTTTCCAGGTTGCGGTGATAGGTTTAGATCCCTTTTCAGTACTTGTCTCGTTTGATACTCTAGAGTTGTCATTTTATGTCAAAAATGTTAATATCATTACAAGATTTCGTTCGTAAATAGGAAGAGATCTACCATATGGTTTTGTTAATTATTTTATGCATGTTTGTGTCCATATCATCATTCTTTTTTGCTAAAACTGTTAACACCGCAGAATAGGAAAAATGAAGATCAAAATCAAGCAGTTAACAGCTACACATGTTAAAATTAGTGCCTAATGTTTATATCTTGTGATGGAAATAGATCATCAGATATCTAAATTTTCAGAGGATAATAAATGTGTGAAAAATTAAATTAAACTGGCTAAATAAATTGAATGGATACACCAAGAGACCATATCAATAATTTTTAGATTATTTCTATAATATCTAGTATCCTATATGAGTTTAAAATTCTAGTTGTTGACTTGTAAATGTTTTCAGAAGGTATTATTTCTATTTATGTCTATGTAAATCTCCAAAAATCTAAATTTAATGTTTTCCTTCCTTGATAGTCCAAATTATTTAACCTTTTTTTTGGTTTCATTATAAAAGGGAATCTGAATACCGATTTGGGCAATATTTATTTCTTAATTTGTACGGAGTCCATCTGGAACGGGCTCAATCGGGTACAAATGGGCTCAAATAAAGCCCATATATTTGCATACGTCATATTGACGTCATTTTCGAATTTCCTCCCTCACATCTGCGCAACAGCGCAAGTTCGTCCTTCCTCGTCCTTTTGGTCCCAACCTCTAATTGCGACGGAGGTACGGCTACATTCCGATGCATTTGGGTTTTGTTCCTTTTTCATGCCTTGATACTTCCGATTTCGCTTTCGCGTCTGTTTGTGCTTCTGCTTGAATTCATTTCGGGATAAGGGTTCATTGGATTTTCAATTGTTTTGGCCTATGTTTATCCTTCTCGACAGAGCACTGCTCGGTGTGCTTTCCCTCCTTAATGCAGTTATTTCGATTCATGTGTTCGTCCTTTATAGGTTTTTTGTTGTTTTTTTTCTTTAATGGTTTTGCTATATGGTGTGGTTCCCCTCCTTCCTTAGTGCAGTTATTTCGATTCATGTGTTCATCCTTTATAGGTTTAATGTTGTTTTTTTTTCTTCCATGGTTTTGCTTTCTCCGTATTTTATGGAATCCTACTGCTTTTTGGGTTTGAATTCAGCTGACTCCGTTCGGAAATTGTTCGTCCGACCTCTATTCACGTTCGAGCGGTTAAGGCTTAATTCTGGGAAATGCATCCGAGTTGAGTTGAATTGAGGGCTTTACAGTCTTAATGAGTCTACTATGAAATATATATTCATCGGTGGGGCAAGCTCTTCTACTTTGGTTCATGTTTTCTCTTGGTTCTATGGTTCTAGAGACACGGTGGGTTGGAGAGAGAAAACCTTGAATTGGGTACAACAGGTTGTATTTGCTGTTATGAGGGTGGCTTCAGGATCATGTACCTATGAAATGAGCTGTTGTTCTAGAGATAATATTTCCAATGGTACCTCTTGGTAACCAAAGTTGATGGTTGAATGACTCCTCTGGTTATTATGATGATCACAATATTGGTCTCATAGATTCAGTTTTTAAAGGAGAGGTTTAATCCGTTTGAATGGACGGAGAATTTGCTCCTTAATCTCAATCTTGACCACCATGACCTGTCAGTTTCTGATATAGGATGTGGGTGGGCACTGATTACTGTGTTCTTTGGTTTGGGGTCATTGCCCTGGTGGGAGAGAGAGATTGCTTGAGTCTCGTGGTTGATGAAAGTGTTGATTGTAAATGGACAGGAAGGAGGCGACGGATAGGGTTTTGGTGGTGGTCAGTGGCTGATTATTTGTGGTAGGTGGTGTGTGGAAGGGCCTTAAGAAATGAGTTTAGACAACAGGACCAGGAGTCTGGTGGACTGGAAGATTCGCTCAGAACGTTTTTCTTATCGCGATGCTCCTTATAGGAGAGATTCACGTCAGGGTTTCAGGTTTTAAATTTTGGTAGATTTAGCCATCACTATTACTTTTCGTTGGTTAACTCGTAGATGCATCCTTAATGGTTGTTTCTCATTTGTGCCTCTTGCCTAATCTATTTTGAGAAATTGTTCCGGGCTAGGTTATTTAGCACCTCAGAATGACATCCCTCATCCTGACTTTTTCAAATTGTGTTGTAGCCAAAATAACGTGTGCAAGAACTGCAAGCGACCTGGTCATTTTGTTAGAGAGTGCCCTAATGTGTCTATCTGCCACAATTGTGGACTTCCTGGGTAAGTACTCTTGTTCTTCTTTTTTGTCCAAGACTGTTTTGTATTTTATCTGTTTACCATGTACATATGATAGTCTTTGATCATGATGCCGCTGCTTTCCTCTGTCCCATGCCATTTCAATGTCCTTTACCAAATTCTTTTGGGTTGTCCATTTAGTTATGAAATATGTGAAGTTCTGATCATGTTTGAGCTTTGTGTAATCGATCTTGTTAACTCACCAGGCATATCGCCACTGAATGTTCCACCAAATCCATGTGCTGGAACTGCCGTGAAACTGGTCACATGGCCAGTAACTGCCCCAACGAAGGCATTTGTCACGCATGTGGCAAGGCCGGGCATCAAGCGAGAGACTGCACAGCAACCCATCTCCCACCCGGTGACCTTAGACTCTGCAACAACTGTTACAAGCAAGGCCACTTTGCGGCAGACTGCACAAACGAAAAGGCTTGCAACAAGTGCAGGAAAACAGGGCATTTAGCACGGGATTGTACAGACGACCCTGTGTGCAACTTCTGCAATGTGGCCGGTCACATGGCTAGGCAGTGCCCTAAAGGCAACGTGATGGGAGGCCGAGGAGGCAGCAGTGCTCGTGGGAATGGTGGCAATCGTGGGTTCAGAGACCTGAGAGAAATTGTTTGCAGGAACTGCAGGCAGGTGGGACATATGAGCAGGGACTGCACCGGTGCAATGATGATATGTAGGAACTGCGGTGGGAGGGGGCACTTCGCCTATGAGTGCCCTTCTGCAAAGCTCATCGACCACCGCTATCCTCGGAGATACTGACCGATAACAACAATGACAAGATTCACCGTTGGTTGCTGTTCGGTTGGAGCGTCGGCTCTATTACGATATGTAGTATGTTTCACACAACCTCGTAGGCCTCCAGATCGGGTCATCTCCATCACATTAGATGAGCTTTAGTGTTTTAATGAAAAGAAACCTCGAAATGTTTTAGTTTGTCACTGGATTTTTGCTTGCTGGTTTTGATCTGTTTTGTCTCCGGGTACTGTCTTTTTTTTTTTTTTTTTTTTTGGTTTTTTGGATCAATCTCACAAAATGTTGCTCCCAAATCATAACTATAGATGACTGGTAACTTTCATAAAACCCCATTTCTGCACGCATGATTCGGCCCATATTGTGACACACAAAAATCGTCAACATTTGACTGCCGTAATGGGCCGTAGTTTACAAAGGGCATATCGGGCCGGTCGTATGTTAGCCACATTGGCAAAAATCCAGGTCTTGGAACCTTTCACAACCGGGAGATAACCGAACGGATTGGTGTTTTCCGACGTATTTTATAATATTTTGAGATTCTCCTATAATCCACAAGGTCCATGCAATGCATGCGTTGTTTCTATATTCAATTTTATTACAAACCTCTTTTTTTAGGCATAAAAAAATCGGTTTTATGTTAGTAAACCGACCTGGAAGATTTCTCGGTCGATTTCTGGCCGTCGATATGAATTTTTTTTTTCTTGTAATAATAATGGGAAAAGGTAAAGGTTTGTCCTTTACATGCTCAAAACAATTGAAAGAGAGAACAATTAAAAGTTAAAGCTTAAAATGAAAAAAAAAACAAAGGTAAATGATAAATTTGCAACCTATAGTATTAAACGAATAACAGAAAAAAATGAGTTGCTTCAGACACAAGCCACTCGGGACAAAAAGGCTCCACCACTGCAACCAAAATATGCGCTTGTTTTTTTTCTGCCAACTGCATATCTTCTGTTTATCCCTTTACAGTCACCACACCAGTGTAAACACACGTGGAAATGCTGACGAAATAGGAAGGCCAGAGAGTGTAGGGTACAATATATAATATTCCTAAAATTTCGGGGTCACATTGACAAAGAAGTCAAAAGCAAGACTGCAGAAAGCAATTTTAAAACTACTTGTCCTGCCACCAGACCAAACGGTAGATTTGATTTCAATCTCTCTCTCCCTCGCTCGTATCTGCCACAGGGACTAAACCATAAAGGGTTGCAGAGGATCGTAAAGCACAGGAAGAAGGAGACAGAGAGTTTAGTGTTTGATAGATGGACGCTATCAGAAAACAAGCTACGAAGCTCAGAGAACAAGTAGCGAGACAGCAGCAGGTACCTACCTTGTTTCTCCCCCCCAATTCTATAAACCCTAGATCGAACCTCCAAATGATCGATTTGGGACCAAATCGCGCATCCTTAGTTATTTCAAGCCGATAAAGTTAGCGAAACATAGACGGGTTTCACAGATTTACCGCGTGAAGTTGGTCACGAGCTGGTTCGGTTGATCTTCTTTCGGAGCTTCGGTCTATGAGTGTATTCTCGTATCTTGATCTGAGAGAGAGATGACTTGGAACGTTTGTGTAAAGGGGTGAACTTTCTGAACGGAAATGCCTATTTCTTCCGAATCTTTCGGATAAATACATTGTCTTTTCTGTTTTTGGTTGCAATCATTCAACTTGTTCCCATGAGAAGTCCTCGACTTGTCTCTGATGTTCGTATCTTATTCTGGTAGCTTTGTTGATTTTTTGGAGTGCTAATTATGCGCCCAAATTTGGTTTACTATGGATTCCATTTGAAAAGTATTGATGTTCATTTTTTTGTAATTTTCCGGTGAAACAATGGAGGCTGTCCTGAGACAATTCGGGGCAGGAGGGTATGGAGGTTCAGACACTGTAATAACCGATGAGGCAGAGTTACAGCAGCACCATAAACTCGAGAAGCTTTACATCTCAACACGTGCTGCCAAGGTTGTCGGTTTTCTGCTTGTCTGCTACCATCACCTCTTCAGTTCTTTTGAATTGAGCCCTTGATGTGATTTTGCTTTTCTTCAGCATTTTCAAAGGGATATCGTGCGAGGTGTGGAAGGCTATATTGTGACGGGATCCAAACAAGTCGAGATAGGTGAATATGTGATGCAAATGCACTCACAGTTTTGCATTTCTACTTTCTGCTTTGAAGATCACAAGTTATATCTAATCACTTCTGCTCTATATGTGCGATAGGAACGAAGTTATCAGAGGATAGTAGGAAATACGGCTCTGAAAACACATGTACAAGCAGTACTACACTAACAAGGGCTTCACTAAACTTTTCTCGAGCTCAGGCTCAAATGGAGAAGGAGCGGGGGAATCTCTTAAAGGCTCTCGGCACCCAGGTTTGACCTTTTTCTTGGCATATTTGTATGGAACATTGCTTTAGTTTTAACAGTTGACTCATATGTGAGAATGCTGGCCGTATAGCAATGTGTTACATGCTGAAATTATTAGGTTGCTGAGCCCTTAAGGGCAATGGTGATGGGAGCTCCACTGGAGGATGCTCGTCATTTGGCACAGCGTTATGACCGGATGCGCCAAGAAGCTGAAGCTCAGGTACTCAAAACTGCTTCTTTTAATTTCCCATGCTGGACGAAATGACGTTTAGAGGTACACACAATATTTAACTAGGTTTAATAACTAATGGTAAAAAAATGCATATCCTGGGTTAGAGGTTATACTTACACCCTTTCTTGAGCCTAGACAGACCATCGAAGTATCAAAACGCCAAGCTAAGGTTAGAGAAAATCCCGGGAATCCTGAACTAGTAATGAAACTGGAATCTGCTGAAGCAAAACTACAAGACCTTAAATCAAATATGACAACACTGGGGAAGGAAGCGTCTTTTGCAATGGCTGCAGTTGAAACTCAACAGCAAAGGCAGACTCTTCAGAGGCTGATAACTTTGGTACTCATTCAAACACTTCTCTTCTTTTGTACTAAGAGTTATAAGTTGGTTTCTTTTTTTCATGTGATATGTCTAGAAACTGTCTGTTAAAATTTCTTTACTCTTTTTCTTTTCCTTTTTGTTCTTTCAAAAGGTTGAAGCTGAGCGTAATTACCATCACAGAATCCTTGAGATTCTTGAGCAGCTTGAAGGCGAGGTATGTGCCAATGCCGTTCTGTGGTAGGGTACATGAATGGGATTGGGAGTATAAATAGGATTGCCTTGATCGATATACGCATCAGAGGTTAAACCTGTATCAGTTCTCTGTTTCTAGGATATTCAAATAAATATGGATATGTTCGTCTTTATAGTGTTAAACTTGATGATTATCTTCCATTCTTTATATTTATAGGCATTGATTGGTTCTTTAGATGCATTTATGAAAAAGAACTTAATTTTGTTATTCATGCTTGCAAGAAGAGACAACAAGGCCTTACAGCTGCTCCCTAAACAACATCAACTTATTTTGGTGCAGATGAAATCTGAAAGACAGAGGATTGAAGCTCCTCCTCAGACACCAACCATAGAGAATGCACACCCACCTCCTTCATACGAGGAAGCCAATGGCGTCTATGCTTCTCAGATGCATGATGGATCAACAGACATCATGGGATACTTCCTAGGAGAGGTTAGCTAACTAAGCCTATCTTTGACTGATTTTTTGGTCCGACTGTTTGGGCCGATGTCTAATGTTGTCCTTCTTGTGGCCTTTTTTTTTCCTCTCTGATCAGGTCTTGTTTCCATATCAAGCTGGATCTAATGCGGAGCTTAGCTTATTGGTTGGAGATTACGTTGTTATCAGAAAGGTTAGCAATTTGGACAACACATGCATATAAGGAAGAAAATAGTGTAAACAAGTGTCTCCATACCATCTCAGATTCGATGCACGCAGTAAAAAGCTCAGGCCTTTGGCATGTAATCAATGGTGGTGTTTCAGGTAACGAGCAGTGGATGGGCAGAAGGAGAATGCAAAGGCAAGGCTGGTTGGTTTCCTTATGATTACATCGAGAGAAGGGACCGTGTCCTTGCCAGCAAGGTAACTGAGGTGTTTTAATGGCTTTTCTCTTGGTTTTGTTCTCTGTCGGACACTGGTTCTGTCTCTGCTG